ATGGAATTAAGCTATAAATCAACAGAAGAAAATTTGGGAAATTTAAAAATATATAGAAACTAAGTAATATGCTTCTAAATAACCAATGAAGAAGAAATAATAAGGGAAATTAGAAAATATTTTGATCTGAAGGAAAATGAAAACGCAATAAGCTAAAACGTATGAGCTGCAGCTAAAGCAGCATTTAGATGAAAACACTAAACACTGCTTTAGCTATCAATACCTCCATAACAAAGGAAGATCACAAATCAATAATCTAAGCTTCTACCTTGAAAAACTAAAGAACAAACTATACCCAAAGCAAGCAGAAATATTAAAAAGTAGAGCAGAAATCAATAAAGTAGAAAACAGAAAATAGAGAAAAATAAATGAAAACCAAAAGCTGATTCTTTGAAAGGTCAACAAAATTAAACCTTTAGCTAGACTGACTGAGAAAGAGAGAAAAAACACAAGTTATTAACGTTAGAAATGGGGGCTTCCCTGGTGGCACAGTGGTTAAGAACCCGCCTGCCAATGCAGGGGACATGGGTTTAAGCCCTGATGCGGGAAGATCCCACATGCTGCGGGGCAACTAAGCCTGTGTGCCACAACTCCTGAGCCTGCAAGCCACAACTACTGAGCCCGTGCACTACAACTACTGAAGCCCACGCACCTAGAGCCCGTGCTCCGCAACAGGAGAAGCCACCACAGTGAGAAGCCCTGCCGCAACTAGAGAAAAGCCCGCGCGCAGCAACGAAGACCCAATGCAGCCATAACTAAATAAATAAATTTATTTTTAAAAACAATTCCACTCTTAATAGCATCATAAAGAATAAAATATTTAGGAATAAATTTATCAAAAGAAGATCTATACACTAAAGACTCAAACACACTGATAAATAGGGGAAAGCCCGGAAAAAAATGGAGAGTTATACCATGTTCTTGGCCTAGTAGACAATATTGTTAAGATGGCAACTGTCCTCAAACTGACCAACAGATTCTATGGAATCCCCATCAAAATCCCAGCACACTTTTCTTGGTAGAAATTGACAAGCTGATTCTAAAATTTATTTGGAAATACAAAGAACTTAAATAACCAACTTAATCTTTTTATATATAGAGAAACCTTCAGTTTCCAAGGTTTCTTGGGGTTTGTTTGTTTTTTGAGATTTATTATTTATTTATTTTATTTATTTTTGGCTGCGTTGGGTCTTAGTTGCGGCACACGGGATCTTTTGTTACAGCTCACGGGCTTCTCTCTAGTTGCAGCGGGCAGGTTTTCTCTTCTCTAGTTGTGGCGCACAGGCTCCAGGGCACGTGGGCTCTGTAGTCTGCAGCACACAGGCTCTCTAGCTAAGGCGTGCAAGCTCAGTAGTCGTGGCGTGCGGGCTTAGTTGCCCCACGGCATGTGGGATCTTCGTTCCCTGACCAGGGATAGAACCCGCGTCCCCTGCATTGTAAGGCAGATTCTTTACCGCTGGACCACCAGGGAAGTCCTGCCAGCTTAATTTTGAAAAAGAAAAACCAAGTTGGTTCTCATGCTACCCAATTTGAAAACTTACCATAAAGCTTCAGTAATCAAATCAGTGTGGCACTGGCATAAGGATAGTTATATGGATCAATGAAACAGAAAAGAAATTCAAACAAACAAACAAACAAAAAAAAGAAAAGAAAAAAGGAAAAGAAGAAAAAAGAGAATCCAAAAATAAACTTATACATTTATGATCAACTGATTTTCAACAAAGGTAATTCAACAAGCAAAAAGACAATGTTTTGAACAAATGGTCTTGGAACAATTCCATTTTGGAAAAGTTTTGCCGTTTCTTAAAAAGTTAAGCATAAACATACTGTACTACCCAATAATTCCACACATAGGTATTTACCCAGAAGAAAATGAAACATACGTTCACACAAAAACTTGTATGGACAAGTTTTATTTATCATTTTATTCACAATAGCTAAAAACTGGAAACAATCTAAATGTCCATCAACAGGGGATAAACAATAAAAACATTCCTCAACAATAAAAAGGAGTGAACTACTAATGCATGCACTAACATGGATGAACCTCAAAAGTATAAGAAGCCAAACACATAAGACTACATATTATATAATTTTGATTATTTGGAATTTCTAGAGAAGACAAAAGAATAGTGACAGAAAGCAGATCAGCAGTTGTCTGGGGTGGGGAGTCACAGTAGAGGCTGACTACAATGAGGCAGAAGGAACTTTCCAGGGACAGGGGTGGGGTGGGGGAGACGGAGGTGAGATAGAAAAATTCTAAAACTGGATTGTGAAGACAGATGCACAGCTCTATAAACTCACTAAAAATTACTGAATTATATACTTACCTTGGGCGAATTTTATGGTATGTGAATTATAACTGCAATTTTTTTAATGTTTTTAAAACTAAGAAAATGAATTTTCATTAAGTTCATAAAGTATTAAAAACTCTGCCATATACAACAGAAAACAAATATGTAAGGCAATCTCTAATCCCAAAACGTTCATTATCTAGGTTTAGCTAAGTGACTTGGGAGCGGTGAAGTCATGGCCTATGGCATTAGAGACAGAAATGAGAAGACAGTCTATGGTTGTAGCCAGTTGGCCTTATCCTAATACCTTGAAGAGTAATAGGATGAGATCTTAAAGTCCAATCCACCCACTCTCAGGTAATCAGGCAGCAGAAGTTTAAATGTTGTGGTGAGAACCCAGGGAAATAGCTTTTCCAGCTGAACTCCAGAGGTCTCAGTTCTTACCAAATGAGGGACAGCCTCAAAAAAGCAAAACAATGAATACAACACAATGCCACAGACCAAAAGTTTTATTTGATGTGATGCTGGCTTGCTGCCAAGGGAACATATCCTCGTCAGTACTGGTTGTTAGATCAGATATTTTCAACTCCACTAATTTGTATTGGTTGGACACACCCAAATTAGTAGGAAGATTCACCAATGACCTATTAGTAAGTACATGAAGAAAAGCTAAAAAGTTTTAAGAAAACTAAGTTGGACAATAGTGACCGACTGAAGAAAACCCCAACTCTTTTTAAACCATTCTTAGGTTGCTATGAGCTAATATCCATTGAGTTCTTACTAAATGTTAGGTACTGTAAGCACATTTAGATACATGTGCTTATTAAATTCTCAAAAAAACCCTAAGCTGAGGAGATTCTTTTATCCTCTTCCTATGGATGAGGAAACTAAGTGACAAAGAAGTAAAGTGACTTATTCAAGGACACAGTTAAATGAATGGCCAGGCTGAATTTCAACTCATCAGTCAACCTGGAGAAACTATAACAACCACTCAGTAACACTGCTTCCCCGTTTATACATTTGCCCACTAGAACTATGTCCCTGTTCTGCTCAAAACTCTCTGAGATTTCCCCTTCTACTCAGGGTCAAAGCCAAAGTTCCTACAATGGCCTACAAGGCCCTGTGTATACTGTGGCTTCCCATCACCTATCTCTAACATAATCTATACTGACCCACTGCATTCCAGCCACCTTGTTGTTCCTGGGTCACACGAGACCCGCACCTACCTCAGGGCCTTTGTACCTGCTGTTCCCACTGCCTATAATATTCTTCCCCAAGACAGTGGAGGTTTGTTCCCTCATTCCCTTCAAAGCTCTATGCAAATGTCACCTCCTCAGGAAAGCCTTCCCTGCCTACCCTTCCTAATGTAGTACTCCCCACTTTTTAATACTTAATTATATCACCTGGCAATGTTTATTACCTAACTCCACCATCTAGATAGAAGCTCTATGAAAGAGGGACATCTAGGAGTCTGGCTTTGCACTACAAGTGCCTAAGACAGCACCTGGCACAAAGCAGATAATACTTCTTGAATTTAAAAATCTGCCAAATATATTTTGATTCACAACCCAATCATATAACTTTAGGCAATTCATGCCGCTGTACCAATAAAATCCAAACCAAAAGAAAAAAAATGTATCTATCAAAGTAGTCTTTTAGAACCTTTATTTCTACTATTCAAAGTTTGATCTTCCTTAATGTGTATGTTCTGTTTTGATGCCTCGTTTAAATGGTGAATTTTCTTTGAAGTGACTGATGACTTCTATAAACTTTACCACCCCCAAAATTGTTAGATGTGTAAGTTATTAATTAGTTGTTGACTGTAGTGATTGTGTCTTGATGGGGAAAATAACCCCAAGTTGCCTGTCCCTCAAAGGAAAATGAAATTCTTAAATGCACAGAGTTGACCTAATACTGTAAAATAAGTAAATAATACATATCAAACTTTAAGATTCAGTGTTCAATTCACATAAGAACCTAATTTCCTAAGTACAGCTAAATAATAAATTTCTGACTCCTGTGACTGAATGCCTCAATGTCTGCCTGTTTAAAAAAGAGTAAAAAGCAGGTTTTAAAAAATGTGTCATTTTATTTGGGTCACTTTGGAACACACATATTTGCTTTTATTTTGGTTAACAGAGCAGTAACTTACAGGACACCATTAGCTCCTTCTAAATAAACTTAGCGCTACCTAGGAGAAGGAAAAGGAAACAGGAATAGGGAAGGGACCACACGGAAAAGTGAGAACAACTTATTTGCCAAAGGACAGGTCTTGTAAGAAGGCGATCACCTCCTTCCGCAGCAGCAGATTTAAAACAAATCTGGAGCGATGGGTAAGGTCCAGCTCTCCAAGTGGTGTTGCAGCAGATCATCTGAAAGCAAATTCTAATGGCACTTGGGGAATGATCGAAAACAGTAGTGGGGCCCCCTCCGTCCTACTCACATCAAGTATCTCCACGCCACTCACCTTCCATTCTAGCGAAGCGGGGAATCATATCCCTGCTTTAAGCAGGTAAGTCGGAGAGAGTCGGATGTCCCTCCCCACGCACACAAACCCTTCGCCCCAGTACTGTAAAACGCAGTCCACGGAACCCAGTGAAAACCGAAACCCGGGAGTTGCTCCAAGTTCTCTCCGCTTTCTGAGGTTGGAGCCGAGAGGAATGTCACAGAGACAAAGCGGGGAGGAAGGGGGCATCTCCCCCTTACCTTGATGGCTTTCTCCATGTCGCTCTCTTCCCACATGCTCCGCGGGGCCCGCACGGCCGGGAGCAGCGGAGCCTGCGCAGCTGCCGGATCCCGCCGCAGCCGAAGGAACAAGGGGCTCAGCGCTCGGGGCCCTGGGTCTCGGGGAGACGGGCAGCAGCCGCCCCCGGGGACCTGCGGGGATGACGGCCCCGGCGCCGGCTCGGCCTCGGCGGGCGGCTCTAGGCTGGGGGCGGCGGCGGCAGCGGCCCCCGGGAACAAGCCTTTGTGCTGGGCCCCGCGCGGCCGCCTCCCGGCCTCATCCCCGGCCGGGGAGGCAGGCTCCCGGGGCAGGGCGAGGCGGGGAAGGCCCCGATCCGGGGCGATGTGCTGGGGCCTCGCGGGGCCGCCGCTTAGGCCCGGGCTCGCCAGGTCCTGAGTAGGAGCCTGCGCCTCCGCCTCCGCCGCCGGCACCGCCGCGAAACCGAGGCCGAGCCCGCCGCCGCCGCCGCCGCTGCTCCCGCTGCCGCTTCAGCGCCACACATCGCCGGGACACCCGCGCCGGGCAGCCCCGCCAGGCGCCCGCTTGCCGGCGCTGTGCCCCGCCTGAGCTCCGGGCCGCCTCTCCTGCCGCCCGACTTCGTGTCCCCACGGCTCCACGCGCCCCTCGTCACGGTCAGCTGCGGTTTCCGAGCCGCCCCCGAACCAAGCAGTTGACTTGCAGGCGTCCGCCAAGGCCTCCCCAAGGTGGCGCCACACCCAGGATAGGCCCCCGGGCCCTCCGCAGCGCTGGCGCCGAGTTGATGATGTAAAAGGTTCAGGCTCGCGGGGCGGGGCTATTGGACCTCACCACCGGACTCTAGTGGCTGCGGGAGCGTTTCTCTTTTCTCCTAGCGCCGCGGACGAGATTTGTGGCGCCAGAAACACCCTGCGGAAGGAGCCGGGGATATCAACTAGTGATAGAGAAGAGGAAACTGAGGCCACGGGCGGGTCCTACGGTAAAAACAATTATATATAATAAGTTATATATACGGAGCGTTTATTTTACGTGAAGCTCTTTTCTTCTCTTAGTTCCTTTCTCCTTTATAAAGTAGGCATTTGGCCTTTTCAGGTAAGTATGTGCTTATTTCCTGTTAACGGATGCAGTAACTGAGGCCCTCAGAGAGCGGCAATCATTTGCGCACAGCTGAGAAGTGGGCAAGTCGGAACCGGAACCCAGGTTTGTGCTCCTTACACGACACCAACAATCTGTCAAAGAACCTTGCAGGAGCTTTTGGTTAATTACCTCTTGATGCCTCTTCATTCATTCACTTATTTACTGAGCACAGCTGTGTGCCACGCCTACTCGACCCTGGGGAAACAGTAGAAAAAAGACACGGTACCTGCTCATGGATCTTATTTTCAAGAAAGGGAAGCAGAAAATAAAGAGGGAAAAACAGAGTTTGTGGATACTAAAAAGCAAATAAATAGGATGCTGAGGTAAGAGAATAACTGGGTGTGGGGGCTTTTTCCAAGTAGATGATCAGGGAAGGTCTCCCAGGCCGTAACCTTGAAGCTGAGACCTCTAAAGAGAAGGAACTGTCTATTGGAAATCCAAGGGGATTTCTGAGCAGATGGAACAGCAAGTGCAAAAGTCTTAAAGTGGAAGTAAGGTAAATGTGGTCAAGGAGCAGCAAGATCATTGTAGCTGGAGCAGGGTGAGTAGCAGAGAGTGATACAGGATGAGGTTGGAGAGGTAGGCAGAGGTTGTATCATATACACCCTTAGGGGTCATGGTGAGAACTTTGGGTTTTATTCTAAGCCACTGGAAGGTTTTAAACTAAAGAGTGATATGATCAAATTTATGTTTTAAAAGATAAGACTCTGCTGTATGGAGAATGAAATATTGGCAAGCGAAAGTGGAGACATGGAAAGTTATTAAAATGCTTTTGGAATAACCCAGATTATTATGAAGCTTGAACTAAGAAAGTGGCAGTAAAGATAGAATAGATGGGTTTATGATATGTTTTGGAGGTAGAGTTGAAAGGCCTTCCTGAAGGACTCCACGTGGAAGATGAAAATAAACAAATCAAGGGGACTTCCCTGGCGGTCCAGTGGTTAAGACTCTGCACTTCCACTGCAGGGGTCATGGGTTCGATCCCTGGTGGAGAACTAAGATCCCACATCCCACGTAGCACGGCCAAAAAAATAAAAACAAATCAAGAATAACTTCCAGGAGACTGCCTTAAGCAACTTGCATGGATGGTGGTGCCATTCAGTGAATGAAAGACTCAGATGAGAGTGAAAGCAGGGAATCCAGAGTTCTTTTTTATCTGGTTAATTTGAGGTTCTTGAGTAATGTACCAGAGAATAAGTCAAGTATTTGACTTATTTAGTTGTTCTCTTTGTTGGCCATACACCTACAGTACATTCCTCAACCCCCTTAAAGTGGCCATATGCCTATGCTCTCCCCCAATGGAAAGTGAGCAGAAGGGATGTGCACATATCCAGGCCTGGCCCAGAAAATCTGTCAACAGATGCTCTTACTTACTCTGCCAGCTGGAAGATGATGACCAGGTTCTGGAGAAGGCAAGGCTTTAAGATGGAAGATACCTGCGTGGAGGAGAACTCTGCCCTGTTGACCTAAACACCCACTCAGCATTGTTATATGAGGGAAAAAGAAAAAAAAAAAACCTCTTGTGTTGAGCTTTTATCTATTTACGTCTTTTTATTATAGCAGCTTTGTTTATGCTACCTAATACAAATAAGAACAGTGATCCAGCAGTGAACTTTGGGAGCAAACTTCGAAATGACTTGAATTGACATTATCTATAACAGGAAATAGAAGGTACCTTGGATTCATTCATTCATTCAGTAAGAATTTATCAAGTGCCTCTCTGTGCCAGGCACTGTGCTACATAGTAGAGATGCAGAGATGAAATCCCTGCCTTAAATGTTCTGAGTCTGGCAGTTAAACTTACTGGCTGTTATCTGCACATACTATCTCTCTATCTAGAGACTTACTCTCCCCACCCAGCACACACACACAGCCCAATTTCTACACAGTCTTCAACCACATTCGAAATACTATTTTATCAGAAAGAGTAGGCCTGACCCTTGGTTCAATCTAAATCAGATATTCCTATTACCTCATAATTTACTTCCTTGTACTTATCACAATTTTAATTTATATATCCACTTGCTTTTTTTCTTTAGTGTTCTCTCCCACACTAGACTAAATACTCTCAAGGGAAAGAACCTTGTCTGTATTATTGGTCACATCCCCAACAGCTGGCCCACTGTAGGTGTTTAATAAATATTTGTTGAAGGAATCAAGGAATGGAGAAGGCAGAGCCCTGAGGAAGGAGAGGTTTCCTCCATTTTTTCCATTTTTTTGCTGGGGAGGTAGTAGATAGCCTAAGATAGCCTTCAATGATGCCCACCTCTGGGTATTCATGATCTTGTTTAATCCCCTCACCCTGCTCGTGGGCTGATCGAGTGACTTGCTTCTAATGGTGGGATGGCATGTCTGAGATTAGGTTGCAAAAAGTCTGTGGCTTCCATCTTGGGTACCCCTTTCTCTCCTATTCTCTTGCTTATTTGCTCTGAGGAAAGCCAGGTCAAAAATGTGAGCTGCTTTATTAGTTTCCTGGGGCTGCCATAACAAACTACCACAAACTGGGTGGCTTAAAACAACAGAAATTCTCTACAGTTCTGGAGGCCAAAAGTCTGAAATCCAGGTGTCATAAGGGCCATGCTCCCTCTGAAGACTCTAGGGAAGGGTGGAGTCTTCCAGCAGTCCTTGGCATTCCTTGGCTTATAGGTACATTATTCTAATCTTTGCCTCCCTCTCCACATGACCTTTTCTGTGTGCCTCTATGTTCTCTCTTCTTATGAGGACAGCAGTCATTGGATTTAGGGCCCACCCAAATTTAGTATGACCTCATCTTAACCTAACTAATTACATCTGCAGAGACCCTATTTCCACATTCTGAGGTTCCATGTGAACATGAATGGGGGTGGGGATACTAGTCAGACCACTATAGTTGCCCAATAGAGGGCTCCATATGTCAAGGAACTAATGTCTCACCAACTGTCAGTGAGAACCTGAGGCCTGGCCAGTGGTCACATAAGTGAGCTTAGAATGGATCCTCACCTAGTTGAACCCTGAGATGATTGCAGCCTTGGCCAACAACTTGACTGCAACCTTCTGTACCAGGGGCAACCAGCTAAGCTGTGTCCAAATTCCTGACCCACAGAAATTGTGAGATAATAACTTTTTAATGCACTAAATTTAGGGGCAATTTGTCATGCAGCATAGATAACTAATACAGATTTTGGTGCCTGGAAATGGGGTGCTGTCATAACAACTACCTAAAATGTGGGAGTGGTTTGGAACCAGGCAGTGGACAGAAGCAGGAAAGATTTTGAGGAGTGTGTTAGAGACAGCCTAAATTATCTTGAACAAACTTAGTAGGAATCTGGACTTTGATGATGCTGCCAATGAGTGCTCAAAAGGGAGTAAGGAACATGTTATTGGAAACTGAAGGAAAGAGGATCCTTGTTATGAAGTGGCAGAAGGTTTAGCAATAGCATCATCTGCAAGTATGTGGAAAGAGAAAATGTTCCTAGTGAACTGGGTGATCTAACTAAAGCAGTTACCAAGCAGAAGGTGCTGCCTGGTTTCGTCTTGCTTCTTGTAGTAAAATGGGAGAAGAGAGATAAATTATTGAACAATAAGGAGTCAGGACTTGATGATTTTGAAATTTTTTAGTCTCTCTAGATGGCAACCAGGGCTAAAATTAAGCTATGGCTTTCAAGCAAAATCAAACCCAGGGTCCTGTAAGGAAAACATGATCTGTCTTTGTCAGTTCAGGCTGCTATTACAAAATATGTGGCCCTGCAGATGCATGTCTTCTCACATGCAAAATATATTCACTTCATTCCAACAGCTCCAAAGTCTTAACTCTTCAGAATCAACTCTAATGTCTAAAGTATCTAGATACTGTTGGACTTCCCTGGTGGTCCAGTGGTTAAGACACCATGCTTCCATTGCAGGGGGCATGGGTTCGATCCCTGGTCAGGGAACTAAGATCCCACATACTGTGTGGTGCAGTCAAAAAAAGAATAAAGCCTTCCTTAAAAAAATAAAGTATCTAAATACTATCTAAATCAGATATAGGTGACACTCTAGGTATGATTCATCTTGAAACAAAATTCCTCTCTAGCTGTGAACCTGTGAAACCAGATAAGTTATCTACTTCCAAAACAGTGGTGGGATAGGCATAGGGTAGACATTCTCATTCCAAAAAGGAGTGATCAGAAGAAAGAAAGGAGTAATCAGAAGGAAGAAAGGAGTGATGGGTCCCAACCAAGTCCAATTCTAGCAAGGCAAATACCTTTAGATCTTAAGGCTCCAGAATAATCCTCTTTAGTTTGATGCTCTGCCCTCTGGATCCACTGGGTTGTGGTCCTGCCTTTGCAGCTCTGCCCAGGCAAGGGTCCTGCCCACATGACTTCAGATGAAGCCTGTCTGTCCTGTTGAAACCAAGGTGATGGCCCTGATGATTTCTGAATTGCTTTTGGGATCATTCTTCCCCTTTCTTGAATAGTGCACATTCATAGCCAAGTAGCTTTATCATCCTGTCCTGTAGAATCAACATCTGAAAGCATTTCTTCCCATCTCAGTCCCCTTCAGCACAAACAGGCAGTGTTTCTGTTCCTATAATCCAATAATCTCTTATCATTTGATAGTCCATCCACACCCTTTAGTGTTCTCTTCCAAACACATTTGCTCATTTTTTGGGATATGGACAGGCTGAGAATTTTCCAAAGCATTAAATTCTGGTTCCCTTTGCTTAACAATTCCTTCTTTAAGTCATCTCTTTCCTTTCACATTTTATTGTAAGCAGTCAGGAGGAAGCAAGCTACTCTTCAAACACTTTATTTATAAATCTCTTCACTGAATATTCATTTTCTTTTTTTTTACAAATATGACTTAAATATTTAACTTTGATCTTTTACTTGCAGCAGGATTTTTTCTTTTTTATTAAATTTTATTGGAGTATAGTTGACTTACAATATTGTGTTAGTTTCAAGTGTACAGCAAAATAATTCAGTTATTGAATATTCATTTTCATTGCTCTCCAGCTGTACCTTGCAAAAACACTAGGACACAGTTCAGCCAAGTTCTTTGCCACTTTATAACAAGGATCGTCTGTTCTCCATTGTCCAACAGCATGTTTCTCATTTCCCTCTAAGACCTCAACAAAGTGGACCTTACCATCCATATTTCTGCCAACACTCTTTTCATGATTATTTATGTGTTTGCTAAGAAAATGAAAGCTTTCTCTCCACCTCTCCTCTTTTCTTTCTGAGCCCTCACCAGAAACATCTATCTTTCTAGCATGTACTTCCAAATTCTTCCAACCTCCACCCTTTCCCCAGTTCAAAAGCTGCTTCCACATTTTTAGGTAATTGTTATAGCAGCACCCCACTTCTCAGCACCAAAATCTGTCATAGCTTGGGCTGCTATAAGGAAATACTGTAGACTGGGTGTCTTTGAATTAGACATTTATGGGCGTGGCCAAGATGATGGAGTGGGAAGACCCAGAGCTCACCTCCACCCATCGGCACACCAAAATTACAACTATTTACAGATCAACTATTGATGAGAATGACCTGAAGACCAGCAGATTTTCCACAACTAAAGATGGAAAGAAGGAACTACAGGGAATTCCCTGGAGGTCCAGTAGTTAAGACTGTGTTTTCACTGCCAAGGGCCTGGGTTCAATCCCTGGTCAGGGAACTAAGATCCCACAAGTTGTGCAGTGTGGCCAAAAAGAAAAAAAAAAAAAAAAGGGAACCACAACCAGGCAGATAGGAGGGGCAGAGATACAGTATAGTTAAAACCCACACCTTCAGGGTAGGCCATCCAGAAGAGTCCAGCCCCAAAACGTCTGGCTTTGAAGATGAGAGGGGCTTCTGTATGGGAGAACCAGAGGGCTATAGGAAACAGACTTGGCTCTTAAAGGACATATGCAAAATTTCACATGCTCTGAGACCTAGTACAGAGGCAATAATTTGAAAGGAGCCTGGGTCAGACCCACTCGCTGATCTCGGAGGGCCTCCAGGAGAGGCAGGAGTCAACTGGGACTCCCCATGGGGACACAGACTCTGGTGGCAGCCATTTTTAGGAGCTCATTCTACCATGACATTGGTTCTGCCAAGTGCCATTTTGGAGTCCTCCTACTAGCCTAATAGTACCAGGGCCTTACCGCCACCAGCCAGTTGGGGATCCCAGGATCCCCAAGCTGAACAGCCAGCCATGCAGGGATATGCCCCGCCCACCAGTAGGCCAGCAGCCTCCACACAAGGCAGGGCCTGGCAGCCAACTGGGCTGGAGGCCAGCCCTGCCTACCAGTGTGCTCAAAGTAGTCAGCCCTGTGACAACAGATGGACCCATGAAACCCACATGGGGGCACCCCTAGAGTGTATAGCTCTGGTAACCAGAGGAGAAGGTGCTGCTAAGCCCCACAGGACATCTCTTACATAAGGCCACTTCTCCAAGATTGAGAATTGTATCCAATCTACCTAATACATAGAACTAAAAACAGAATTAGGCAAAATGAAGCAATAGAGGAATATGTTCCAAACAAAGGAACAAGGTAAAACCCTAGAAGAAGACTAAGCAAAGTGGAGGTAAGTAATCTAACCATTAAAGAATTCAAGGTAATGATTATAAAGATGTTCAATGAACTCAGGAGAAGAATGGATGAACACAGAAGCTTAACAAAATATAAAGAAGAACCAAACAGCCGAAGAATACAATAGTGGAAATAAAAAATACACAAGAAGGAATCAACAATAGAATAGATTATACAGAAGAACAGATCAGCAAACTGGAAGACAGAGTAGTGGAAATCACCCAAACAACACAAAAAAGGAAAAAGAATTTTGAAAAATAAGAATAGTTTAAGGTACCTCTGGGACAACATCAAGCATACTGAAGTTCACATTATAGGTTCCCAGAAGGAGAAGAGAGACAGAAAGAGGCAGAGAACTTACTTGAATACATAATAGCTGAAAACTTCCCTATCCAAGGAAAGGAAGCAGACATCCAGGACCAGGAAGCACAGAGTCCTAAACAAGATCATCACAAAGAGGTCCACACCAAGACACATTGTAATTAAAATAGAAAAAAAATTAAAGAGAGAACATTAAAAGCAGCAAGGGAAAAGGAAGTAGTTACATACAAGGAAACTCCTATAAGACTCTCAGCTGACTTTTCAGCAGAAACTTTGCAGGCCAGAAGGAAATGGCACAATATATTTAAAGTGATGAAATGAAAAAACCTACAACCAAGAATATTCTACCCAGCAAGGTTATAATTCAGATTTGAAGGAAAGACAAAGAGTTTTACAGACAAGCAAAAGCTAAAAGAGTTCAGTACCAATAAGCCAGCTTAACAAGAGATGTGAAAGGGACTTCTCTGAGTGAAAAGGAAAAGACCACAGGATTTCCCTGGTGGTCCAGTGGTAAAGAATCCACCTTACAATGCAGGGGACGTGGGTTCAATCCCTGGTCAGGGAACTAAGATCCCATATGCCACGGGGCAACTAAGCCCGCGCACCACAACTACAGAGCCCACATGCCCTGGAGCCTGTGTGCCACAACTAGAAAAGAGAAAACCCACACACCACAACTAGAGAGAAGCCTGTGCACTGCAATGAAAGATCCTGCATGCCGCAACTAAGACCCGATGCAGCCAAAAATAAATTAAATAAATAAATAAATGATAAATCTTTAAAAAAAGACCACAACTAGAAATATAAAAATTACTAAAGGAAAAATGTAAAGGCAAATATACAGTAAAGGTAGTAGGTCAACCACTTATAAGGCTAGTAGAAAGGTTAAAAGACAAAAGTAGTAAAATTATCTATATCCATAATCAGTAGTTAAGTGCTACGCAAAACAAAAAGACATAAAATGTGGTTTCAGAAACATTAAATATTAAACGCAGTGGTGAGTAAATACGCAGGGTGGTTAGAATGTGTTCAAACTTAAGAGATCAACTTAAAATAATCACATATGTATATATGATTGTTATATATAAACCTCATAGTAACCACAACCCAAAAACCTATGATAGATACACACACAAGAAAGACAAAGGAATCCAAACAACACTAAGGATAGCCATCAAATCACAGAGGAAGAAAGCAAAAGAAGAAGAAACGAACAAAAGAGAACTACAAAAACAACCAGAAAACAGTTAACACAATGGCAACAAATACATATCTATCAATAATTACTTTAAATGTAAATGTATTAAATGCTCCAATTAAAAGATTTAGAGTGGCTGAATGGTTAAAAAAAAAAAAAAGACCCATATATATGGTGCCTACAAAAGATTCACTTCAGATCTAAAGACAAACAGATTGAAAGTGAGGGGATGGGAAAAGGTATTCCATGCAAATGGAAATAAAAAGAAGGTTGAGATAGCAATACTTATATCAGACAAAACAGACTTTAAAACAAAGACCATAATGAGACAAAGAAGGACATTAGATAATGATAAAGGGATCTAGCCAATAAGAAGATACAACAATTATATATGTACCCAACACAGGAGCATCTAAATACATAAGGCAAATACTAACAAATATAAAGGGAGAAGCTGACAGTAACATATCATTGTAGGGGACTTTAACATCACGTTTACATCAATGGACAGATCATCCAGACAGAAAATCAATAAGGAAACACTGGCCTTAAGTGACACATTAGACCAGATGGACTTAATAGATGTAAGTAGAACTTTTTATCCAAAAGCTGCAGACTGAAAATTCTTTCCAAGGGCACATGGAACATTCTCCAGGAAAGATCACGAGTCTCAATAAATTTAAGAGAACTGAAATTATATCAAGCGTCTTTTCCAGCCACAGTGATAGCTAGAAGTCAACTACAAGAAAAAAATGGCAAAAAATACCAACATGTGGAGACTAAACAATATGCTACTGAACAACAAATTGTTCACCAAAGAAATCAAAGGAAATAAAAAAATACCTGGAGACAAAAGAAAATGGAAACACAGTGATCCAAAATCTATGGGATGCGGCAAAAGCAGTTCTAAGAGGAGAGTTTATAGTGATACAAGCCTACCTCAGAAACAAGAAAAGAAATCTCAAACAACCAAACTTTACACCTAAAGGAACTAGAAAAAGAAGAGCAAACAAAAGTCAAAATTAGTTGAAGGAAAGAAATCATAAAGATCAGAGCAGAAATAAGTGCAATAGAGATTAAAAAGGCAACAAAAAAGATCAATGAAACTAAGAGGTGTTTCTTTGAAAAGAGAAAATTTAGTCAGACTCATCAAGAAAAAAAGAAAAAGGGCTCCAATAAATAATTAAAAATGAAAGGGAAGTTACAACCAACACCACAGAAATACAAAGGATCATAAGAGAGTACGACAAACAATTATATGTCAATAAAATGGACAACCTAGAAGAAACGGGTATATTGCTAGAAATGTACAATCTACCAAGACTGAGGCAGGAAGAAATGGAAAATATGTAGAGACCAATTACCAGTAATGAAATTGAATCCGTAATTTTTAAAAACTCCCAACAAGGACTTCCCTGGGAGTCCAGTGGTTAGGACTCTGTGCTTCCACTGCAGGGGGCCCGGGTTTGATTCCTGGTCGGGGAACTAGGATCCTGCAAGCTGCAAGGCACAGCCAAAAAAAAAAAAAAGTGAAAGAAGACAGACACAAAAGGTCACATACTGTATGACTCCACTTACATGAAATATCCAGAGTAGGCAAATCCCTAGAGACAAAGTAGATTAGTGATTGCCAGGGGCTGGGGTGGGGGGAGTGGGGGGGGATTAGGGGATGACAGCCAAGGAGTACAGGCTTCTTTTTAGAGCAGTCAAAATGCTGTAAAATCTATTATGGTGATA